CAGGCGCAGACAGCTCGTGCCAGCCCCACCACCCGGTGCGTCTGTCGGCACCTCACCGCTTTCTCCGTCCTCACGTCCCCAAACACTGTTCCGGAAAACCTCACCCTGGAGCGGCTGAGTCAGGTGGGCTTGGGGGCCTCCATCGTGGCACTGCTTGTGTGCCTAGGTGTGTACAGGCTGGTTTGGAGAGTGGTGGTACAGAGCAAAGTCGCCTACTTACGCCACACGGCCCTGCTCAACGTGGTGCTCTGCCTTTTGGCCGCAGACGCCTGCTTCCTGGGAGCCCCACTGCTTCCTCCGGGGCCCCGAAGCCCGCTCTGCCTGGCCGCTGCTTTCCTCTGTCATTTCCTCTACCTGGCCACCTTTTTCTGGATGCTGGCTCAGGCCCTGATGCTGGCCCACCAGCTGCTCTTCGTCTTCGATCAGCTGTCCCAGTGCCGAGTACTCTCCCTGATGGTGGTCCTCGGCTACGTGTGCCCGATGGGGTTTGCAGGTGCCGCCCTGGCCCTCTACCTACCCCGAGGGCAGTACCTGAGGGAGGGGGCGTGCTGGTTAAGTGGGAAGGGAGGGGCGCTCTACACCTTCGTGGGGCCAGTGCTGGCCATAGTGGGCGTGAACGGGCTGGTACTCGCCATGGCCGTGCGGAAGCTCCTGAGGCCTTCGCCGTCAGCGGGGCCCCGGGCGGAGAGGCGCCAGGCCCTTCTGGTGGTGATCAAAGCCCTGCTCGTTCTCACGCCCATCTTCGGCCTCACCTGGGGGCTGGGCCTGGCCACCCTGCTGGAGGAAGTCTCCACAGTGCCTCACTACATCTTCACGGTTCTCAACACCACCCAGGTGGGTGATAAAGCGCCGGCTGTGCTTTTGCCCTTTTAGATGGTCTAGGTCACTGCCAGTGCCTTCTCGAGGAGGGGTTGAGGTGGAGCAGGAGAAGCAGTCTCAGGAATTTTAGGAGACAGTAGGCCTGGGCCGCAGTCCCTCCACGGACTCGCTGGAGGACTTTGGACAAACCTCTGGGAGCTCTGGTTTTCTCATCTGCGAAACAGTATCTGGTTTGGGCAGAGACGTCAGGGAATTGTCAGTACCCAAACTGATATTGATATTCCCTTGGTAACCAAAGTGGTCAGAGAAGCACCTGAAATGGATTCTATGCACTGAGTGGTGCTAATGCCCAGAAAACCCTAGATGGGAAGCCTCGGGACACAAATTAGACAGGACGACAGAGGCTGAAGGAAGAGGCGGGGGAGGGAGTCGATTTCGGTTGATTCCTTCCTCCATGACTAACTTATCCCCGTATCCCCCCGTTAAGGGTGTCTTCATCTTACTGTTTGGTTGCCTCATGGACAAGAAGGTGAGTCTGCCCACCTAACCTCTGCCCAACTTGCGGTGCCCAGGCCAGGACGTTGGCTGGCGTAATGAGGGCGTTACCTGTCCTGCAGGTACGAGAGGCTTTACTCAAACGCTTCTGCCGCTCCCAGTCCCCCAACTCCACCATCTCCCTGGTGAGTTATTGGCTTCAAATTCTCAGTTCTCCCACTAAGGGGTCAGACGCAGCCGTTCCACAGCCTTCCCGAGAGGAGACAGGCACAGCTAGAGGCTGAGAGAAGCTTGGGATCGTCTTCTAGAATGAGCACTTTCCAGGCTCGAAGTCCCCAACGATGGAGACAGGAGCTCCGTCAGAGCAGTCGGAGTCAGGTTCCTGGGCTCCTGATTACAACCTGGACTGCTGGGGACTCTCTTAGCCCCTGGTTTCTCCATTTGAAAATCTGCCTCCAGTTACTATATGAAGGGAAATGTAGGATCGGTAAGCATGGGAGTCAGCATAGCTGAGAACCAAGTTCCTTAGGGCTACTGCGGCCCCAGGCAGGTGAGAACGTGAAAATGGGCACAAGCTCATCAAAAGAGAGTCGATAATAATAACAGTCGCCCTGCAATTGGGCCTTCCGGCCCCTTCCTAGGCTACATATGAAACCTACATCCCGGAGCAGAGCAAAGGAAGAAGTGAAGACACCAGGTGAGAAGCAGGCCTTCCTGGGGGCAGCGTGCGTGGCATGGACGGAAGCGGAGGCTAGCAAAGGGCTTCCTGGCCAAGAAGGCTCCTCTTCACGTGATTGACGGTCCCGGCCCACGGGTGGAAAACAGACTTTTCCAGCAGAGGCATTTCTTGATGGGACGGGGAAGGTGGAGACCTCAGAGAGCAGGGAGTTTTACCACCACCAAGCCTTGGTTCAGTCCACTCTGAAAATTCCTTTGTGCGCTGTCAAATTCTTAATCGTCCTGGAAAACCCTTGCCTTGAAGGAATCGCCATTGGTGGGCTTGGTGTCCAGAGGGGTGGGCAGCCTGCAGAGGCGGTGAAAGGTCTGCTTCACCAGCCCAGAGCTTCAGGGCGAGCCCTTTGGCACAGAAGGCAGAGGCTTTGAGTGAACCACATGCAGAGCCCATCCGAGGGAGTTGGGGGAACGTGCCAGAATCCACCAGGATGAGCCATGGCCCGGGGCTCTGAGCCCTTCCCCCATCCGAGAGCCCAGCGCCCCCGCACAGACAGGCTAATGTCTCCACTCGTCACGTTCCCTTCTCTCGCAGGTCACCTGCCCACACCCCTAAACTATCCAAGCAAAAAGAGCATGAAAAACTAGCTAAAGCTACCTGTTGAATAAGCCTGCCTTTGCTGTAAACGTAATCGACAGATATTAAAGTTCAAAATAATTGCAAGTAAAACCGTCTCAACCAGTTTTTGACCAATCGACAGTTCCTGGTACAGATAGATTTGCTAAAAATTGTTTTATTTTTAACTACTCAGTGATTTCTTTTCTGATTATTTCTTCTCCATAGCTATGACAAAAGGATGACTGATGACAGGAACTCTACTCTTGCAAACATTAAAAGTGAAGGACAGATTTTGGTTCGTTTCTTTTCAAAGTTTAGGAAAAGGTGAAGTTAACAGGTCCCTCTTTCTTTAACTTTTCCAACAATATCAGTATAACTGTAAGTTTCATCAATGTACGAATGTATACAATCACCGATCTAAGAACCTTTGTAAGAGCGCATTAATGATTTTACCGTAGAGAGGAAGTTGCCACCGACCGCTAAGAATTAAGGCAACAAGATGACAAAAAGGGGCATTTAAAAGTGACAGGCTCAGGTCACCTGGGTGGCTCAGTCGGTTTAGTATCTGACTCTTGATTTGGGCTCAGGTCATGATCTCGAGGTTCATGAGCTCGAGCCCCACATCAGACTCTGAGCTGACAGTGCAAAAAAGCCTGCTTGAGATTCTGTGTCTCCCTCTCTCTCTGCCCCTCCCCTGCTCTTTCTCTCAAAAAGTGAACAAAAGCATAAACTAACAAATCAATCAATCGATCGATAAATGTGACAGGCTCAAGCTAAGACCAGATATGGAGAAGACTTTTTTTTTTAAAGCCTTGAGAGGATACCAAGACATCTAGTTGAATTAACTCATGGAATCCACAAGATGATGGGAGGGTTCTGAAAAATTTTTCAACTAGAGAAATGGAAAAAAATTCTTACGAATGAGCCTTTGTTAAATTACAAAAGTCATGGCTATTTTTATAAAACGGAATGGGAATGCTTTCTGTTGAAATGAATATGCTCTTGAAAACAGTTTTCTTATAAACATGGATCTGTGTATTTTCATTGTACCGAAGTCAGCCTAAATAGTTCCCTACATGGATTCAATTGTTTCGTTCAAATAGAAGATACCAACTCAGCAGGGCACTTGTAACCGGTCTATGCCTCGGACTTGTTCCAGCCCCCACGGGAGGCGGGCGGCCACTGAAACAGCGAGGGCTTTGCCTGCTGGTTTCCCTGGCCACAGGGTCCTGTCTCAATTGCCCTTGTACTTCATTAATATTTACAGTCTTAATTTTTTAAATTATAAAATTATTTGTGAAGAGTTCAAATAATACACGTTCGCTTTAAAAGCAGCAGAGACCTCTGAGTGTGCTTCTGTAGAAATCTACGTTCTCATATTTCCTTCTCAAATGACGACACGCACTCAATGCATGCTTTGCTGCTAAAAACATACGTTAGGATTGACAAATGAAGTGACATTAAGCCTTCGTTCCCTTGGTTGTCACATAAAGAAAGACTGAAAAGAAAGTTCTGGAGGTAAATATAAGAAAGTAAAGATGTCATTTCTAAATTCCATTTCTAAAAAGACGGCCTAAAGAAATAAGCAGACAAGTGAGCAGATGAATGTACCAAGGATGTGCGTTCCAGTGTGTTTATATCCTCCACAAAGCGCACTTGGTAAAACCAATGAGGATATATCTACCAAAGGAGTGCTATGTGGTCATTTAAAATGACGACGTATAGCTACACCTACTGATACGGGAAAATGTTTAGGCTCTACAGCTAAGTAAGACAAAAGGGTTCCAGAACAGCATTATACCAGCCAATTTTGGTCCATACCAAAATTGGGTCCCTTTGTGTCCAAATATGTGTGCACTGAAAAAGAGAGATATCAAAATATTAACGGTATCTTGCTACTTGATTTTTCACTTTTTTCTTGCTCTGTAAATATTATTTGAATTATTTTTTACAATGAGCATGTGTTTCTATGGTAGAAAAAATGTTATTTTGAAAGAGTTCTTCTGAACATTTTGCATATTTAAAAATAGAAACTTGTCAAGCAAAAACAACAACAACAACAAAAAACAAACCCATAAACAAAATACCCCCTGGAATTTAGATTTGTACAGAAGGGTGGACTACATTAGAGGTTCTCGAGGAAGCTTGGACTTCTGTTTTGGGGATCAATTCTGTTTGATCGCTGACAGTTCCCTAAGCGTGGAGGGGGAAAGGGGCTCCTGGTTGAGTTTAGGGCAGGCAAACATTGGCAACATGTCTAAATGCTTGGTCTCTTTCACAATAATGCATTTCTTTCCAGAGTAGTATTTTACCTCAGTGTTTTTGTCCTTCATCCCCACATTCTCCCATTTCCTCTCAACCAATGATCCCTCTTCATTGAAAGAGCATAACATACCAGTTCAGAGTCCCAGATAAACCACAGCGGACACAGACAGAGGACCTCTGAGTCATCCATTAAGTCCCAGAAGAAGACTGGAGACTCTGCTACTGCTTTTCATTCCTTGAGAGAGACTGGAATTGGAGAGACCTGGAGAAAAAAATTTTAAACGTAAATGAGAAAGGGTAGGGGGAGAAGATAGGCTGAGAATTAGGATTCCTCTCTCCGGAAAGATGGATGCAAAGGTGCAAAGAATGTGTCTGGTTTGCTGGTTGCTGTAGCTTCAGCATCTAAAATATGCTTGACATGTAACAGGTACTCAGTTTAAGTATTTATTGAATGAATGAACTATACAGACCACAGCAAGAACAGGGACTTTTGCTCAGAATCAGAGAATCGTTGGGGGGGTGGGGGTGGCGGGTGAGGGAGGGGAGCACAGGGGGGAAGTGCACTTCTGAAGTGTGAATGAAAGATGAGGGCAAGTCAAGGCTCTCCTCCCAAATGGTTATTTGGTGGAACAAAGGGTCTAATTAAAGTTTTATATGAAAAGGGAAGCACTTAAGTTGGGATCTTTAAGAAGAGCATAACGGGGGAGGGGGGCAGGCACCTGGGTGGTTCACTGGGTTGAGCATCTGACTTTGGCTCAGGTCCTGATCGAATGGCTTGTGAGTTCTGGCCCCGCCTACGTCGGGCTGTCTGCTGTCGGCTTTGGATCCTCTGTCCCCCACTCTTTGTCTCTCCTCCACTTGTACTCTCTCCCTGTCTCTCAAAAATGAATAAACATGAAAAAAATAGCGTAACCAGTTCGAGGTACCTGAGAACAAACCGCAATGTGTACTTTATTTTTTTTTTAATGTTATTATTTACTTTTGAAGGAGAGAGAGACAGAGCATGAGCAGGGGAGGAGCAGAGAGAGACACAGAATCCAAAGCAGGCTCCAGGCTCTGAGCTGTCAGCACAGAGCCCGATGCAGGGCTCGAACTCACGAACTGTGAGATCATGACCTGAGCCAAAGTCAGACACTTAACTGACTGAGCCACCCAGGTGCCCCAACAATGTGTACTTTAGATGGAGGCATCTGTAACCATGACAGCCAAGGGTCGTCTTTTGTAGCAGTCACACTACCGAAAATCGCTCAGTTTCTCTTATGCATAAAATGTTTAGAAACAGTGCTCGCTTCGGCAGCACATATACTAAAATTGAAACCATACAGAGAAGATTAGCACGGCCCCTGTGCAAGGAGGACACACAAATTCGTGCAGCGTTCCAGATTTTTAGAAAGACAGATACCATATGTTTTCACTCATATGTGGATCCTGAGAAACTCAACAGAAGACCATGGGGGAGGGGAAGGGCGAAAAAAAGTTACAGAGAGGGAGGGAGGCAAACCATAAGAGACTCTTAAACACTGAGAACAAACTGAGGGTGGGTGGGGGGGTGGGGAGAGGGGAAAGTGGGTGATGGGCACCTGTTGGGATGAGCACTGGGTATTGTATGGGAACCAATCTGACAATAAATAATATTTAACATAAAAAAAAGAATGTTTAGAAATAGCATATAACTTATGTAAAGCTGGGTGAACGTGACCTAACTGCAGACCTAGAACTTCAGAGACACCACGAAAGCCCTCTCCAATCCGATCCCACTGCCTCCCGCCCAGAGGTAACTTCTACTCTGAATGTGATCAACGTAACACTAAGAAATTTTTTTTGCGGTGAAACACGGAAAATTTACCACTTTAACCAAGCATACAGTTGCATAGTGGAAGGTACATTCACAGTGCTGTGCGACCAATCTCCAGAACTCATCTTCGAAACTGAAACTCTATACCTATTCAGCAACTCCCCATTCCCCCCACTCCAGTCCCTGGTAACCGTCATTCTACTTCCTGTCTCAACGAAGGTGACTATTTTGTATACCTTATATAAGTAGAACCATACAGTGTTTGTCCTTTGGTGACTGGTTTATTTCACTTAAGGTTCATCCATGTTGTAGCACGTGCCAGGACTGCCTCCCTTTTTAAGGCTGCATAGTACTCTACCGTGTGTATACGTATACACACATTCAGCTGTCAATGCACATTCGGGTCGCTTTCCCCTATTGGCTCTTGTGAATAATGCCACTATGAATGTGGGTGCACAAATCCCTGCTTTCAATTCTTTGGGGTACGTACCTAGACATGGAGCTGCTAGATCATATAATAATTCTATTTTTAATCTTTTGAGGAACGATCATACTGTTTTCCATAGCAGCTGGACCATTTTATATTCCCACCAACAGCGTACAAAGGCTCTGGTTTCTCTTACATCCTCACCACCGTGTGCTATTTTCTGTGGGTTTTTTAAAAAAATATTTTTATTTATTTTTGAGAGAGAGAGCAAGCGAGCGAGCGAGCAGGGAAGGGGCACAGAGGGAGACACGGATTCAGAAGCAGGCTCTAGGCTCTGACCTGTCAGCACAGAGTCCGGCGCGGGGCTTGAACTCACAAACTACAAGATCATAACCTGAGCCGAAGCCAGATGCTCAATAGACTGAGCCACCCAGGTGCCCCTATTTTCTGGTTTTTTGGTAACAGATATCCTGATGGATGTGAGGTGGTATCTCGGTGTAGTTTTGATTAATGATGTTGAACTAGTTGACTAGTGATATTGAACATCTTTTCATGTGCTTATCGGTCATCTGTATATATTTTTTAGAGAAACGCCTATTTAAATCTTTTGCCCATTTTTAAACTGGGTTATTTCTTGGTTGTTGAGTTGTAAGAGTTCTTTGTATGTTCTGGATATTATCATATATGACTTGCAAATATTTTCTCCCATAGGTTGCCCTTTGATGCACAGAAATTTTTTATTTTTAAAATTTTTTAACGTTTATTTATTTTTGAGACAGAGAGAGACAGAGCATGAACAGGGGAGGGGCAGAGAGAGAGGGAGACACAGAATCTGAAACAGGCTCCAGGCTCTGAGCTGTCAGCACAGAGCCTGACGCGGGGCTTGAACTCACGGACCATGAGATCATGACCTGAGCCGAAGCCGGATGCCTAACCAACTGAGCCACCCAGGCGCCCCTGATGCACAGAAATTTTTAATTTTGATGAAGTCCAACCTATTTAGTTGTTGTTGTTGCCAGTGTTTTTGGTGTCACGGCCAAGAAAGTACTGCCAAATCTAATGTCATGTAGCTTTTCCTGTTTTCTTCTAAGAAGTTTATCAATTTAGCTCTTATGTTTAGGTCTTTGATCCACTTTGAGTTAATTTTTGTACATGGTGTAAGGTAAGGGTCCAACTTTCATTCTTTTGCAGGTGGCCCATTTTCCCAACACCATTCGCGGACAAGACTGTCCTTTCTCCATTAAACGGTCTTAGTACTCTTGCCAAAAATCATTGGACCACATCAGATTTATTTCTGGGCTTAAACAAAAACCAACTTATCTCCAGAAGGTTCTCCTTGGGCCAGTGATGGGGCTCAGCCCTGCTGCCCCCTCCAGCCGCCCCTCCACTGACTGCCTCTGCTGGGTTCTGCGTCTGCTCGCTGAAGAAGCTGAACAGGCGAGAGGCGTCTCTTCCCTTGGGCGCGTGGGCCCCAGTTAGCAGAGGCTTTGAGTCCTAACACCACAGCTGATGGAGGAGGGAGACCAGAATACTCCTTTAGAAATGAGTTGCACAACTGACAAGGCACTCACTGATGCTGATGCGCTTGCTGAAAGACTGAGAGATTGTGATGACACAGCAGAATCTCCGACCGAGCAAACCACCGCTCTCAACAAGTGAGCAGACGTGATGAGCAGGATCAGGAAGAAATTCAAGAACTTAACGAAGCTGCAAGACATTGGCCACAGTCCGCGTTGGTTATGGGAATCCAGCAGGAAGGCAGACAAATCAGAGAAGTACAACCAAAGAACAAAGAATTGCATATATCCCTGGAAGAAACATCCATAGTTAGACTGCTAACGGCTAGCAAAAAAGATGATCTGGATATAATGATGAAGTCGAAAGAGCAGCACTCCCAGACTGACATGGGTTGTTGTAACAGCTCTGGAGTCCTCCTTGATGCATCTTGACACATCTTTGAAACATCTCAACATGGACCGGAGAGGAGGCACTTGGAAGCAAATCAGAAATTCCAACTGCATGTTGATCAGATAACGGAAATGACAGCAGTAATGAGGAAAGCCATTGAAACTGATAAGCAACAGGGGTGCAAGGTACTGGAACAAACATTTCAACTTGAACAAGAAAACAAACGCTTGAGAGAGGTCCTTCACAGGAGTGCACGTGTGCATGAGCGGGGGAGGAGCAGAAAGGGAGAGAATCCCAACTCAGGGCTTGAGCCCAGGATATGTGAGATCATGACCTGAGCCTAAATCAGGAGTCAGAGGCTTAACCGGCTGAGCCACCCAGGTGCCATTTTTGAACCTTAGGAAAGATGTGTCTGAAAGTCCATCTTTGACAGTATTAGTGACCAGTAGCAACCAGAGTCTGAGGAAGAGCTGAAGAGCCTGTAAGTCTTTGAGTTTCATATACTTCAGATGGTCACTGGGACTGGTCTACTAAAGTGAATGAGTTAACAGAAAAATCAATCTCAAGCTACGCTTTTTTCCCCCTATAGTACGTACAGTGGATTGGCAATGACATTTTCTCTTTTACTATTTTAGAGACAGAGAGAGAAAATGCAAGTGAGCAGAAAAGAGTGGCAGAGGGAGGGAGGGAGGGGGAGAGAGAGAGAGAGACAGAGAGAGAATCCTACGTAGGCTCCATACTCAGTGTGGAGCCCAATGCTCAATCCTACGACCCTGGGGTCACGACCTGAGCCAGAGGCAAGAGCTGATGCTCAACTAAGCCACCCAGGCGCGCCTATAAGTATTCATTTGATTTTTTTACAAAATATATATCTAGTATGTAAATTTTTAAAAGCCACTAGAAATAGAAACGGACTTTAACATCAACTGAAATCTAAACTTTTCTTATTTTGTGATTATAGGATTAAAGAGGATAAAAAGGTAAAAAACAAAACACCATTATTTCCAGATCTTTCCACTAATGTCTTTTTTCTGTTTCAAATCCAACCCATGATACCATAGTACATTTGTCATGTCTCCTTAGCTTCCTCTGGTCTGAGTTTCTCCGTATTCTCTTATTTTTTGTGAACTTGATAGTTTTGAACACATTCTGTGTAGATGTTCCTCAGTTTGTGTTGCATGTTTTTTTTATGACCCAACTGGGCTAATGGGTATTTGGAAAGAATACCCCTGAAGTGCCCCTTTGATCACATTATGCCGAAGTATGTGGTATCTACATGCCAGCACTGATGTTAACCTTGGTCACTTAGTGAAATTAGTGCTTGCCATGTTTCTCCACTGTAAAGATGCCTTGTTTTCCCTTCTCATACTCTATTTGCTGGAGTTGAGACATGAAGTCCAGCCCGCACTCAACCGAGGACGGACATGTCCCACTTCCTGGAGCACAGAGTCTACACGTATTATTTGGAATTCTTCTGTATGAAAGACCTCTTTTCTCTTCCCTTAACTGTTTTAGAAAACATTTTTATCTCATATGTAGGCATCTCAGAAACAGACTTAAGTTTTGCCTGTTTTTGAACCTGTCCTGTCAATGAACATTTGTTATTTACAATATTTTGCTATTAAAGAGCAATGAATGGTGCTATGCACTCTCTTGCACGCGTCTCCTGGCATTCCTGTGCTGGGTCACAGACCGTGTGTCCGATGCAAATGTGCAAGATGCCAAGCTGTTTTCCAAGTGGTTCATATCAATCTGTATTCTCACCAGTGGTGTGTGATCGTTCCTATTGTTCCACATCCTCATCAACACCTGATATTGAGTCTTCATTTTTCCTGATGGGTATAAAAGAATAGCTCATTATGATCCTAATTTGATCTTTCATTACTAATGAGCCTCTTTTCATGTTTATTCTCCATTTCTACATTATTTTCTAAAAAATGCCGGTTCATATCTTTTGCCCATTATTTTGTAAGTCATCTTTCTTCTTTCTGATGTACGGGAATTCTTCATATAACCTGGATCGCTTGAAAGATAGATCTATATCAAGGTGACATGTGACATAGATCGTGAGAGAGAGAGAGAGACGTATCTCCTTTGTAGGATGTATCTGTATCTTTGTCCCTTTTGTGGTTTGTCTTTCCATTCTGTCACATAAACAAAAGTTCTTATTTCAACACAGGCCATTTTTTTTTTAAGGTTTATTTTTGAGAGAGCGCAAACGGCAGGCAGGCGGGGGGGAGGGGTGGCAGAGAGAGAGGAGGAGACAGAATCCGCAGCAGGTTCCAGCCTGGAGCTGTCAGCAGAGCCCAGCGTGGGGCTCAAACCCATGAACTGTGAGACCATCACTTGAGCCAAAGTCGGACACTTAACTAACTGAGCCCCCCAGGCACCCCTTTTTTAAAAAGGTTTGTAATGTTTTTATTTATAAAATTTCTTTACACTTGACTTAAATCCTGGCAGAGACATCTCCAAACAGTGAAATAAATTTACCCCCAAGGAGCAATGGGGAAAAAAGTGTTATTCTAAAATGGTTTTTTGTTTTTTTTTTTTAACATTTATTTATTTTTGAGAGACAGAGCATGAGCAGGGGAGGGGCAGAGAGAGAGGGAGACACAGAATCAGAAGCAGCCTCCAGGGTCTGAGCTGTCAGCACAGAGCCCAACGCGGGGCTCGAACCCAACGAACCGTGGGATCGTGACCTGAGCGGAAGTCGGATGCTCAACCGAATGAGCCACCCAGGAGCCCCAAAAAGGTGTTATTCTAAAGCAGGACCCTCTTTATACCCCTAGCAGCCACATGACTGACTAAGATGGCTAAAAGTTACAAATGAGTAATTAAAGGCAAAATCTGCCCCCAAGCCAAGGGAACCACCCTTTACCTCTGGTAAAAACTAAGGCAAACAGTTCTTCAATACTCCCTCACTTTATTAAGTGTAACAGGGTACTTATATATCTAAACATTTACTGTAAGTTTTCAGTGACATTTAAACTCTGAATTACCTTTCCATAATTAAGTTTCTTTAGGCACATTGGTTTGTATTTTATAGAAAACACGCATCTTTAGGTCACAAATAGGAAGGAGTATACTTTGCAAATGTTACAAAGATGATTCCAAATCTCAGAGAACCTCTCTCCTGAACTGCAACCACTCATTTAAGTATTTAATGAAAATAGAGCCCCCAAACAACTGTTTAAACATAACACTGAGAGATTCTGCTGATTAAGAAATCCCTGAAAGAGTAGTAAGCCGTGATTACGGAAAAGCTCAGAATACTAGCAAGGCTTAATTGCAAAGTATTGAACAGAAGGCCACAAATTGTCTTTTCCTAAGAGGAGATAGGAACTAAGGATGTCAGTTAGTAATGCATTGGAATGGCATTGCCTAGTGCGAGTGTTGCGCAGAAACTCCAGGTCACCTCTCCTTTATTATTTTGGATAAGCTTCCACTATCATCGCATGGCCCTGTAGAGGAGAAAAAAAAAAGAGCTCCGTTAGAGCAACGGAAGGCAATGAATCCAGCCAGTCCTGAGGCAAAAGGGAACAATGGGAAAAGTACGGGCTTTGGAGTCCGATCCTGGGCCTGCCTTTCAAACACTGTGTGATCTTGTGTGTGTATGGGCAAGGGGAGTGTTGCCACTGGCATCTAGTGGGTAGAGATCCCGCTAAACATCCTACAACACGGAACACAACCCCCCCCGTAACAAATAATTATCTGGCCCCAAATGTTAATAGAGACAACGCTGAGACACTCTACTCTATATCCACAATGCGGGATTCCTCCTCTGGTCTCCCAGTCACATTTGCATCACTTATTTGGCTCTTGATGAAACAATGCCAAGTTTAATCTACTTTTTAATCATCTCCTCTCGCCTTCACCAGACTGTAAACTTCTAGAAGAAAGGTACTGGGTGGTATTCTTCATTCATCCACAAAAGCATCCGGTATTGGGTTTTACTCTGTGTGCTAGGTGAACAACCAGGGAGCACACACTAGAAACCACAAGACACTAACCCACGGGGGCTGCCCACCCCGCACGATACTGTGCCCTCATTATCTCCCTCAGTTAAGCCTGGCACAGACAGATCGGGGGGGGGGGGGGGGGCTCCAGTCCTGACTATGGTTTTCTCTGGACAAAGGTACACAGACTGAAAAGTGCTTTTCATCATGAAGTCTGAAATACTCTAGCCTACAAATAACTGACCCCTTGTTTCTTCAGTTTCTGAGACAGGTCATAAATAAAGGCTTTTAAATGCAAGATGTTTAAACTTTTATATAGCTTATTATTTATCTTGATCAGCAACAGAAAAGTTTCTGTAATCTGGAAGAAAACCAGATCTGTTTCCCTCAGGACTGGGGACAAAAAGATTACAATCAGCCCTCCTTTTGGATTTTATTCCCAGAGTGAAATGCCATACGTAGCAGGTAGGAAGTTGTGTCTGTAATGCAAGTAAGGCCAATGAAAGAAATCTGTAGAATAACAAATTCCCCCCCAAATAAACAGCAATAAGTTACCCAGCAGTAAATTAATTTTCCAATTAAGGTATAATTCAGTTTTCAGGAAAGATAATTTACTTTTCGGAGAGATTTTATAAATATGACCTCAGGGTGACTAGATAAATGAGTAAAATTTTATCTAAGAAAAAAATTTTTTTTCAGTTTAAGACAGAGACAGTGCAACTGGGGGAGGAGCAGAGAGAGAAGTACAGAGGGGATCCCTCTTTGCACTCAGCACAGAGGTCGATGTGGGGCTTGAACCCCCGAAACCATGAGATCATGACCTGAGCTGAAACCAAGAGTCAGACGCTTAACCGACTGAACCACTCAGGTGCCCCGGCTCTCATTTTTTTCTACACGCCTTTTGTATATAGAAACATAATGAGGATGTATTCCTTTTAAAATTAAAAAATATATCTAAACATTATTTTAGGAATAGAAATAGCTCGAGTTTAAAAACTACCTTCCTTCCAAAGTACGATCAAGAATTAAAGTTGTACCCTCCTCCCTCAAAATAGGCTGCTTTTTTTTAGTCGTCTGTCATCAGAAATACTGCTCTAAGGATGTTTCAAAGTGAAGCAAATGAAACGTGCTTGGAATGAGCTGGTTTGGTTTGCAAGAAAATGACTTTCCAGAAGCACCTCTGAAGCTGCTGTGACATACCTGCCCTCCAGCGGCACAGGCAGCCACCAAGCCATACTGGCCTCCCTCCTTCCGTAATCTGTTGGCAGCTGCCATGACCAACCGGCAGCCAGTAGCTCCAAATGGGTGTCCCAGGGACAGCGATCCACCCCAGTTGTTAAACTTCTCCAAGGGAGGTGACCCAACCTGGCTCCCACAAAAACAGACACAAATATAATGATGAGTTTACTTAAGATTAAGAATCGGGCCAGACTCCTAGCAAGAGGAAGGTAACAGAGATGGAGAAAATGACTAACTTGAGACACGTCACGTATTACTTTATCGTAAAGAAAGAAATTCTAGGTCAATTCTGAAAGCCACTGTCTATTTACCTTCACCTAACACCAGAACTGGAAGAACAAAAGACAAAACAGAATTTTACTTGCATTTTTCCTAAAGATTTCCAGGAACTATTTTCCAACGAAGAAATAAATACATTTACTAAAATAAAAGATTCTTCATAAAAAGGAATTGCTTTCCCCTTCATATTTTTATTAACAGCCCAAATATTACTGTGCTTTGGAAATTCAAGCATGCTGTTAATCACTTACCTTGGTTTTTCTACCCATGTAATTTTGTGCAAACCAATCAGAATCCATGGCTTTAAAATTAGCCAAAATCTGACCCTACAAGGGAAAGGACCTTGTTATTAATGTCCCTTGACATTAAAGTTGAGCAAATCTTTACATCAGTTTTCAGTGAAATCTTCCTAAGGAAACATTTGCTTCTTTTGAAGGGCCTCTAAGAGATCACAGCAAAAGGTATGTCTTCAAAACTGCACGACTGGATTCCCCCCACTTAACACCCCTTCCAACGGTATAGGTCAGTATTTCAAATATAAAGCTCTACTTGTGTTTTATAACACTATCATAAAACACACTTGGATCTCCCCAACACAATACATTTTTTATGATTACAGTCCTTTGATATGTATCTGTTAAGTGACTTACTGAGAATGCTTCATGAAATTCAAAAGCATCGATATCAGTCATTGTTAATCCTGCCCTTTCCAGAACTTTTGGAGTAGCGTAAGTTGGTCTAAAAAGAAAAAATAAGTAATGTGTTAAAACTTTAATTTTTAACCTAAGAACTCCTTATCCTCCAAGGTGAGTTTTACATAAGGTATTATCATGCCCTCCACTCATTCACTGCTTCTGTACAAATATTAAGTATTGGGGGCACAATAGTGAACTAAACAGACATAGCCTCTGTCCTTACAAAGTTTACATTCTAGAGTCAGGGATATAGCTAATAAACAAACTATGAAAGAGAAGGGCAAACAAATAATGTGAAGGATTAGAAAAACACAGAGCTGTGAGGGATGGGAAGACAGTCTAAACACCAGGAGGCTTTCATAAAAGGCCATTATAAAGACTATGTAGCAATATGAAAAAATGCTTATGACACCTTAATGAAAAAAGAATACATTATATATGTAGAAATGTATACAAAAAAGAGGAAAAAAAATCCAAAACTGTAAAATAATATACCAACATAAAGGATTATTTTTAAGAATCCAACACACAAAACAATTATGAACTCAGAACTTAATGTACTTTAAAATCTATATAATAAATGTGGGTAATCAAATACTTCTAATGATAGTCCTAGGATATTTCTACACTGTTACCTACCCAAGTAAAAGTTGATCTTTTGGATCCTGAGACACATACACAAAATCCCTAGGTAAAAAACAGAGGGGTTAGCTCCAGTAATAAAATAAAGAAACCGAGGCGGCCATTTATTTGAACATTTACTTTACCTCAAATATGCCTTTGGCTTATAACCCATGGCCAGAGCTTTCTCCTCTGCCATTATCAGCATTGCAGATGCACCATCAGTCTGAAATGTTAAGCAGAACAATAACGTTAAATTCTTCAGCCTTTCTGGAAGTCTCTGTACAACCATTTTCTATGTAGTGTTCCTGAATCTATCAACTAATTACACTGTATACAGAGATTTTATAAAACAAAACTATTTTCATTTTATCCATAATTAATGGGCGACCCAAATACACACCCTGACCCATTGTTTTAAGGAAGAGGGTAGAAAAACCTGTCAAAAAGTACCATCATTATCAAAATGGACAAAGAGAATAGGTAACATAAGAAGTATGTATTCATAATAAACTTAAGCCAAAAGATTTTTGCTTTTGACACAGAATATGAGAAATCTTATGAATTAAAATAGTCTCTCATTTACTTACTTATTTTTACATTTTATGGACTGTTTCTGAACTTGTTTCCTGCCTGTGGAAGGAAACACAGGCTTCGAGGTGATATGAAAGAAACAGGCAGGCAGCTGAGAACATTGGAACCATGGTCTTTCCTCTCTGGACACACCCCATATACTTCTTACCAACTGAGAAATCAAGTTGAGAGACAAAGAGCTACCACTGAAAAAAAGCCTTATACCATGACTAAAAGAAAGCTCAAAAAAAAAAAAAAAAAAAAAAATCCAGGGGCACCTAGGTGGTTCAGTCGTTTAAGTGTTCAACTTGAGCTCAGGTCATGATCTCATGGTTCATGAGTTTGAGCCCCACGTTGGGCTCTGTGCTGACAGCTGGAGCCTGCTTCGGATTCTGTGTCTCCCTTTCTCTTTGTCCCTCCCCAGCTCACCCTCTTTCTCTCAAAAATAAACATTAAAAAGAAAAAAAAATCCAAAACCCACTACTTCGGAGTTTGCAACATAAGAACAATTTCTACCACATTCTATGATATTATTTTAACTTAGTAACCCTGAAGTCACGATGGAGCTACCTTACCACCAACAGAGGAGCCATAAGGTCTGGAAACAGCGGTGACCATACATAATAATGGTTTATGGACATTACATTAATATGTTCAATGTGCCATTGTGCAAAGTTACAATGAATGTGGTGCATCAACACATTGCCCAAAACCCACCTATCTGTGATGTGCTGCCTCTGATGATTTGCATTTCTGACTTCCAATGACTAAACCCGCCCCTTTGGCACACACCAGAAGTAATCAAAGAAGTTCAGATCTGGCAAGAGTATAGCCCACCCCATATGGCCCTATCATTCAATTTGGTGGTGGAAATGATTATCTAACCAGTCCTTCAGCGCTCACGCCTAACAAGATGGTGGCATACCATCCTGCTGGAATCATTCCAGGCACCCCTCCCCTAGCCCAAGAGTGGGCGTTAAGTAGTCACTTAACAAGGTCAAACATGTCAACATGTACCCATGTTACCCATGCAGGTAAGGAAGATACATTGTAAAAGAAATGCTGACCAGCTAGACTCTATCCCAAGGTGGTAGGAGAAAAGAAACCACATCTTATGAGCAGAAACAGAATCAAAGGGATGTTTAGTTAACATCCCTTTGGCTCTGAGCCAAAAAACGAGGAAGGATATGAAGCTATATGCTGATAAATAAAACCACCACCCCAAGAAATGAGGGTAGATATACTTATTCTATATGTTTTATAGGAAAACGCTTATAGAAATCGCTTATAGTAACGTAATTGGGGACCAGTATAGAGCATCATTTTCTAACAAGCGGAGCTAAAAGATAACTTGTCACACTCTCTGCCTACTTTCCACATCTCATACAACTCCTCAAATTCACATCCTATGCTCCAACCAAGCTTTTCCCCAAAGAAACCCTCGCTCTCATACCTCTTTGCTGTTCCCCTTGCCTAGAATGCATTTATTACACTTCTTGAACTGGCTTGTACCCTTCCTTCAAGATTTGCTGCTCAGATGCTACCTCCTCGACGGAGCCTCTCTGACTCCCCCCATGTGCGTCTTCTCTGTTAGCCTGCGCTTACAACCTCCATCGCATCTTCTCCTGGCATTATCATCACTGGCCTTTCTACCCCCAGTGCCTAGGAGAGCTAATCAGAGCTTCCTGACTGGTTAAATGCCTGAAGTGAACAGCTTTTTGAATCAGAATGGTGGCTAGATTAGGTGACTCTGAAGGCCTTAAACTAGGCTTCTTTTTGTTTTTTTAATAATCCCATTTTAATATTTTTATAATGAATAACTTAGATGTTTACGCCTCTATAATACATATAAATAGATCTATTGTAGGCTTTTCTACTGAAAGGCCACAGATATAAAAGTCACTAGTAAACACATAGAGCACACATAGTTACCAGGAAAGAAGAATTTGCAGCCGTCACTGTGCCATAGGGCTTAATGAATGCAGGTTTTAGTTTGGCCATCTGCTCCAGAGACGAAGGACGAATGCCATTATCTTTGGTAACTGTATCTTTTCCTAAAAAAAAAAAACATGAACTTTTTAACTCTAAAGAAGTACAAGCTTTATATATCTTCTCCAGAGAAATGTTTTAAAAACTATAAGAACAAATGAAATGTAACCCATAGCTATTTACTAAAAAGAAAATCTTTTACAGTTATTAAGATGTCATCGAATCTTAATCAATACTTTGTTTTAGATTTTTTTTTTTTTTTAAGTAATCTTTATCCCTAACATGGGGCTTGAACCTACAACCCTGAGATCAAGAGTCGCATGCTCTACCAACTGAGCCAGTCAGGCACCTCTGAACTATATTTTTAAGACATCTGGGAAATAATCTAAATGATCTAACAAAAGGACACCCTACCTTCTTTCTTTTTTTTTTTAAATGTTCATTTATTTTTGAGAGAGACAGAGTACGAGCGGGGAAGGGGCAGAGAGAGGGAGACACAGAATCCGAAGCAGGCTCCAGGCTCTGAGCTGTCAGCACAGAGCCCGATGCGGGGCTCGAACTCACGAACCGTGAGATCACGACCTGAGCTGAAGTCAGACGTTTAACCGACTAAGCCATCCAGGTGCCCAGGACACCCTACTTTCTTAAGGTATTTATTCACATTTGACTATTCTTCTATTCAGAAATCACATGAATGAAGAATTTTTAAATGGGCATCTACATAAAAACTAAAATACAGCAGGAAGACGTAAAAGCAGACTCTTATGAAAACTTCTCTTTAAAATGCTGTGGAGGGGCGCCTGGGTGGCGCAGTCGGTTAAGCGTCCGACTTCAACCAGGTCACGATCTCGCGGTCCGTGAGTTCGAGCCCCGCGTCGGGCTCTGGGCTGATGGCTCAGAGCCTGGAGCCTGTTTCCGATTCTGTGTCTCCCTCTCTCTCTGCCCCTCCCCCGTTCATGCTCTGTCTCTCTCTGTCCCAAAAATAAATAAACGTTGAAAAAAAAATTAAAAAAAAAATAAAATAAAATAAAATAAAATGCTGTGGAGCACCTGGGTGGCTCAATTGGTTAAATGTCTGACTCTTGGTTTTGGCTTAGGTCATGCTCACGGTTGTGAGATCAAGCCCCACCCCTTGCACTCTTCTGCACTGGCAGTGCAGAGCCTGCTTGGGATTCATTGTCTCCTTCCCTCCCCCTCTCTCTCTCCCCCTCCGCCCCCACCCCCACTTGTGCACATGCTCTCTGTCAAAATAAATAAACATTAAAAAAATAAAATATTGACCTATTACAACATAAATCGAACCCTGAGTCCATGTTTAAAAGTGAGTGTTCTGGAAACAGAACCAACATACTTACTGAGAAGTCATTTGGGGCTTTTGGAGTTTCAGAAGCAATTCAGAACTCTCAGAACTCCCTAACAGGTGGCATGAAGCATCCTCCTTTATAAAGCTGAGGAAACCATTTTACCTGGTACTTTGAAGGGCACAACATCAGACAGGAGTCCTTCATCCTGGGCCTTCTTGGCCAGGCTGTGAGAGCGCAGCGCGTACTCATCCTGGTCCAGTCGAGAAACAGCAAAGGCAGCGGCCAGTCGGTCTGCAGAGTGGCCCATGGTCTCACTGGTGGAGAACTCGGCCACCGCAGGGAGCTGGGGAAGGGAACGTACAGGATCAGGTACGCTGTCAACAGGTGTTATACCATGCCCAGGGTTATCTGGGAAAGTCAAGACCAAGACAGGAGAAGCTTTTTGTGAGCAGGGTGTCTCTCAGGAGGGCTTACAAATTCAAATTTTCTAAGCACCATCTTTTTTCCCCCATCTTGAGCAAATAATTAACCTTTCCCTGTAACTAATAGAATCTACAAATGAGCATAACCGACCGTATAACTAATTATGTATCTTTGCAGTGGGATGCTTTGGAAGCACAGGTCTTTACATAAGAGGTCCCAAGTCTTACCTCAGGTGACAGGAAATTCAATCTGAATTTAGAGATTAAAGACAGTCGCTGACCCAGAGTCTTGGCCTTATTGAGATCAAGCAACATCTTCCTCATTTTCCTTGAATGACGAATAGGGACATCAGACATTAACTCTACACCACCTGCCACGACCACATCGCACTGCCCGGAGGCGATCAAGCCGACACCTACAGGGCACAGGTTACAGGAACATGAGCATCTTTTGCAGAAATTAACAGACCACTGATAATTGAAGCTTCTTGATTAAATTCCTGTTGTACGACAGTTATCAGCATTCTATAACACGTGTAATTATGCTTTTAACTTCTTCAGAGGGATTAAGATAATTTTTTTGAATGACTAAAACTATATTCAATGCACTAGAGAAAAACAAGTTTCATTCAGTCCATATGGACAACAGCTTCTGGAAATATCCACTGGACCAACCCTCACATCAGTCTAAACCAGAACATTCTGCATATTTTACAAACTCCCAGCTTTAGTTTTCAGAAAGATTTTTATCCCTACAACAGGAATTTTTACTACAAGCTAGAGAAAGTCTAGCTTTTGAAGATGTAAGGCAACCTCTGCTCCTCTTTCTAGCCACTGGCGAGTATTTTGTTGCTCTATCTGGAAGTTGTCACATGCTTCATAGAGTGGTGAATGCCCCCAATCACGGCCTGTGGCATCATCTTCTGCCACTCATGAGGCAGGCTGCAACCTGGCCTTGATGTTACTAAAAGAGCAGAGTCATCTTTCAGGTTTCGGTCTTTTCACAACAGGCACTGCCACTGCAAAATGTCCCACTATTTTGCTAGAGTTTGTCAGGAGAATTTGTAACTAATTATTAAAATTCCACAGGTGTGGGGAGAAAGCAGAGGAAAGAGTCTGTACTGTACTTCTTACACAGTGATTTATCACTTGGGCCACAACCTTCATGGGGGTGTATTAGACTCCCCTAACTTAACCATTTTTTTTCTAATTTTTTTTTTTTAATGTTTATTTATTTTTGAGAGGAGAGGGGAGCAGAGAGAGAGAGAGAGAGAGAGAGAGAGAGAGAGAGAGAGAGACAAAGAATCCGAAGCAGGCTGCAGGCTCTGAGCTGTCAGCACAGAGCCCAATGCAAGGCCTGAACTCATGGACCGTGAGATCATGACCTGAGCCAAAGTCAGATGCTTAACTGACTGAGCCACCCAGCAGCCCTGGGATTCACCTGACTTTAAAACCCAACAGGTTAGGGGCACCTGGGTGGCTCAGTCGGTTGAGCCGCCGACTTCAGCTCAGGTCATGATCTCGCAGTCCGTGAGTTCAAGCCCCACGTCGGGCTCTGTGCTGACAGCTCAGAGCCTGGAGCCTGTTTCAGATTCTGTGTCTCCCTCTCTCTGACCCTCCCCCGTTCATGCTCTATCTTGGTCTCAAAAATAAATAAATGTTAAAAAAAAAATAAAAAAAAAACAAAACCAACAGGTTATAAATTATTCATGACTCAAATTCAGAAGCACCCTCCTAGAGACATACTTCTCCAGCTGATAATCCCTGCTGTGGCCAGCCACATTACTGATGGAGAAACTACATGAATGGTTGTGTCCCTCAGGCATAGACAGCAAGAAAAGATGAGAACTACTTCAAAGATCGAAAATGTTAAATATGACCTTATTTTTGAAAAACGACACAAATTCAGAGATCTCTGCTGATCATATACTTTTGTTAAGAGTACTTTTTTTTATGATCGTATAAACGACCAAGGAGAATTAACATGTACCTTCTGCTTTCAAGTAAACATACCTGTGGTCATGGCTTGGTTGGCAGAGATGCAAGCCATGGTGACAGTGTGAGCAGGAGTCTTGTCAGAGAAGCCAGCTCCCAGGGCAGCCTTCAGGAAATACAGGAACGAAACGGTCACTTCTAAAGGAAGCGTTACGTGGAAATGATGTCATGTGAGCACCACTTCTCCGTGTGGTGAATCAGGAAAGGGTTTGAGGTTAATACTCTACAGAGTAACATTCAGAATGAAATTAGGCCCATCATGGAAATGGCCCACTCATTTTTCATCTAGCCATTAACCGACAAGCGCTTGATGAAATTCTTGGTAGCCGGTTTCCAGTGTGGTCAACAGGCTACAGGTCACCTAATTCCTTAGCAATGCTGTGCTCTGGGCCTTCGAGAATATCAATACATAACTGGATTTTAATCTAAATTTCCAAATAGCCTTGAAGTAAACCTTTGAAATCCACCTGGTGGAAGGATGAAATAGGTCATGGAGTAAGATCCTCACGATCTGTGTTCCTGCACTTGAAAGGCTTGGTGGCAAAGCAAAAGTTACCAAAGCAAAAAGTGATTTCTAAAGAACCAACCACTCCCCTAACAGCCTTCCCACTCAGGTCCCTGCCTGCTCTCCACTCATTCCTCCCACTGCTAGTCCGTCTCTCTTTGTGACTGCCACAGAATTCAGACAGCACCCTGAAGACCCAATGCAAAGGCAACTTGGAAAACTTGCCATTAAGGAGGAGTTCAAGTTGATGAAAGAAACTTTGCAAAAGTGCCTAAGCCCCAAGTAAGCATCTTTGAAATAAGGTCAGACCAGCTAACCAACTGGAAAAAGACAAACCTGTCCAGGATGATGACACAACAGTCGCTTCAAAAGAGAACAATTTGAGGGGTCTTGACAAGAACTGAGGCCCTCCAGGGGCGCCTGGGTGGCTCAGTCGGTTGTGCATCCAACTTCAGCTCAGGTCATGATCTCGCGGTTTCTGAGTTCGAGCCCCGCGTCGGGCTCTGTGCTGACAGCTGGGAGCCTGGAGCCTGCTTCGGATTCTGTGTCTCCCTCTCTCTCTGCCCCTCCCCTGCTTGTGCTCTGTCTCTCTCTCTGTCTCTCAAAAATGAATAAATGTAAAAAAATTAAAAAAAAAAAAAAAAAAAGAACCGAGGCCCTCCATTAATCTTGCAAAATGGCCTCTATCTCTATCACTATGGCACAGTAAACGTTACACATAACATGAAGATACCTATTATTTTATTATAATACTTATTGGGGAAAATAATGCTGCCAAAAAAAATCAATGTCTGATTCCATTTTTGCTTAAGAATTAATGCATAGATACAATAACAAAATATTTCATAACATTAAAGTTACGTTTTAAAAATAATGCTCTCACTATCCCCCCACCAGCCACCACCACCACTATTTAACTATGAGATTCTGGTTCCCATGAGGGGAATTCTTTTTTAGTGGCCCTTTTCTGAAACTATTTAACTATGCTCAGAATACAAGATCTCCTGTAATTTGGTAAAATAAACCTGTTTCCAAAGTCAAGATGAAGGAGGCTGAATGTTTCTTAAATAAGTTTTACTTTTTTAAAGTTTATTTAGAGAGAGAGAGAGAGAGAGAGCCCGCGCATGGGAGCACCTGAGGATGCATGAGGGTGGGGGAGGGGCAGAGAAAGAATCTCAAGCAGGCTCCACACTGTCAGTGTGGAGCCCGACATGGGGCTCAAACTCAAACACCGTGAGATCATGACTTGAGCTGAAACCAAGAGCCGGCCGCTTAACCAACTGAGCCACCCAGGCGCCCCGCTTTTATATTTACACTACCCATATATCATCATCTGTAGAAACAGAAGTACGTCATAGTACCATACATACAGTATAACCTTATTCTGGTCTTTCTAGGTAGACTTGATACTCAGTGCCCAACCTACTCTGCTGAAAACTACACCCTGGCAACGGCACGTCAGCCTCTCAATGCAGACCAATTCAAAAAAGGAAGAAAGAAGCAAATCTCCAGGGGCCAGGGGAGGAGAGCACACCAGTGGGCCAAGTGTAAAGGGCACTCAGGTCGTATGGCCCGATCCTCATAAGGTCCTTTCTAGCACGTATCCCACCCTTGGCCCCAGTTGACTCTCAGCCCTGAAAGAGCTTTAAGTAGAAGTGGTTTCTGGGGAACCTTGTCCACATGCTTCTATTTAAAGCTTGAACAGCTCTCAAGGCACGCTTAGGCTCTAGATAGCACACTAAGAGAAAAGGAGGAAGACACCTCTCAGTCTAGGAGGAGAGCAGGGAAATCTGCAGAGGCCTTTCAGTAAAGTCAGGTTCATGGGAACTCAGCAACAGAAGTCTTTAGCATTTCCTATAAACATGACGAATACAGACAACAGGTCCTTCAAAAGCTCTCTAGTTGGAAGGTACACTAGCTTTTAGGTTACAATACAACTACGGAGAGACATCCTCATAACATCCTCCCCCAGGGCAACCTTCCCCTGGAGTGAATGCCCCTGGTATTGGTACAGGGCAGGGCAGGGAGAGGCAACTACCACACGTCAATTCATAGCTGCGATTTGCACATGGATGTAAAATTTTCTGACAGAATTTAGGGAAAAACATTATGGCTTTAAGTATTAGAACGGAAATACTGAAAAAACTGAAACGCTTGGTATTTAGTTTTCAAGTGCTCTTATAAGAGCCACTTTGCTTTTTGCAGAATATAAAAGTTGCAAATGTATTATGACTAGCTTGATGCAGTCGTAAAATTGTCATATTCGACCCAGTCAGAAACGTGAAAGCCCAGGGAAAAACCAAAAAAATCAGGATGGGAAAAAAACCATTTTCTGTTCATAATTTTTTTTCTGCCTCCCTAACATCCTACAGTCGATTCTGTGGGCTTAAGTAACACCAGATGTTCAGCAATATTAGCATTTACTGGCAGGTAAAAATGTGGGGCAGAACGAATACTTCCGGTCCTGCTCATGTCCCCTCCTGGCTGATAGTGATGGAAATTATTGCCCCCACAACTGTACTGAACACAGAGATACGGCAGGCACAAAGCTAGAAATAAAGAAAATGCTTAACACGCTGAAATGTGCTTTGGAGCCAACTTTATCCAAATAATCGCTTTCAAATTGAAACAAAGCCCAGAAGATGTGTTTGGACTCTTCACCAGGAAATGCCTGTGTGACGTGTCACACAAGTTTTAAGGTCTGTTATAATCTCAGTTGCTACCAGTGAACACTACGTGGAGCTATGCCAACTAGGGTAAAGGTTAACTCCTATGAGATGGTTTTAAACACACACCCTATGTGTCGTGTCGTTAATGGGAACAAATGAATCAGCAATGCCACCTCCAACAAAAACCATGTTGTGAAATAAGTTCTTTGCATAGTGTTGAAATTTTGAGTTAATTAGTAGCCACCGTAACATTATCAAGGTCACATCAGCCATACTTCCGTACGATCTCTATTATCCTAAGGGATAGAAAAATGAACATATCCCAAAGCAGCTCAAATAATTGATTTGACTTATAGTATGAATATACACGAGTACAGGACAAGTCATTTGGTTTATACTATAATTCTCTCAAACATTAAATAACATTCATTATTCAAATTGTAAAATCACATTTTAAGTCAAATATAACCTTACTTAAAACTTTTTAATAACTTTTGAAGAATAATTCTGTTCACTGAAATTCAATCGATTCTCCTATCAATCTCTCGGAACAACATGAAGTCCGTTTTACTCACCTCTCTAGCCACATTGCTAGTCTTCACTTCCTGTATAACTGTGCCAAAGATGATATGATCAACAACATCCTTCGGGACACTGGTCCGATGCAGCAAACCCCTGAGAGAAGTCCAAAGCAATAAAAACCGAGACAGTGCCGCAGGTCATCACATAAAACATTGTAATTCTTTTAAAACGACAAGCTAAATAGGAAGAATCAAAAATCATTTTGAGGGGTGCCTGCGTGGCTCAGTTGGTTGAGCGTCTGACTTTGGCTCAGGTCATGATCTCGTGGTTCATGGGTTCAAGCCCCACATCGGGCTCACTGCTGTCAGTGTGGAGTCCACTTTAGATTCTCTGTCCCCTTTCTCTCTCTGCCCCTCCCCATTCGCACGCATTCTCTCAAAAATAAAACATTAAATAATTTAGAAAAGGATAAAGCAGATACATAAATAGAGTAATGTTAATAGGAACCAAAGTTTCAGTCAAAAGAGAAAAGAGAGACAAGTATAAAATCAAAGAGATGAAATAAAATCCCAGGTATATTAAATTTAAATTTGGAGTACCAATATAAACCCATAATTAAAGCTGTACATTTGTCTAGTTTTACCCACTGATAGAGACTAGAAGCAGTCACATTCCAGTAGGAAAGGAAGGAGTCAATCTTTTGGGTTTTTTTTAAATGTTTATTTTATTTTTGAGAGAGAGCGCAAGCAGGGGAGGGGCAGAGAGAGAGGGAGACACAGAATCCGAAGCAGGCTCCAGGCTCCCAGCTGTCAGCACAGAGCCTGACGCGGGGCCCAAACTCATGAACTGTGAGATCATGACCTGAGCCGAAGTCGGACACCCAACCGACTGAGCCACCCAAGCGCCCCAGGAATGAGCCAATCTTGAACTCAGACTTGGTTCTTTTTTTTTTTTTTTTTCAGACTTGGTTTCTAAATGCCATTCCCCACTAAAGGAATCCGCTTATTTACTTTTTTTTTTTTTAAAGATTTTATTTTGTTTTTTAAGTCTACTTATTTGAGAGAGTGGGGGAGGAGGAGAGAGAGAAAGAGAAAGAGAGAAAAAGGAGAGGGAGGGAGGGAGGGAGGGGGAGAGGGAGGGGGAGAGGGAGAGGGAGAGGGAGAGAGAGAATCCCAAGCAGCTTCCCTGGTGTCAGTCTAGAGCCCGAGGCAGGGCTTGATCTTATGAACCATGAGATCATGACCTGAGCCTAAACCAAGAGTCAGGCACTTAACTGACCGAACCTCCCAGGTGCCTAAATATTTTATTTTTAATTAATCTCTCCACCCAACACTGGGCTCAAACTTACTTACAACCCTGAGATCAAGAGTCACATGCTCTACCAACTGAGCCAGCCAGGTGCCCCAGGAATAAGCTTTTTATTTTTTTTTATTTTTTTATTAAAAAAAAATTTTTTTTTTCAACGTTTATTTATTTTTGGGACAGAGAGAGACAGAGCATGAACGGGGGGAGGGGCAGAGAGAGAGGGAGACACAGAATCGGAAACAGGCTCCAGGCTCTGAGCCATCAGCCCAGAGCCTGACGCGGGGCTCGAACTCACGGACCACGAGATCGTGACCTGGCTGAAGTCGTACGCTTAACCGACTGCGCCACCCAGGCGCCCCAGGAATAAGCTTTTTAAAAAAAATGACTGAGGCTAGGTCTAAGGCAAGACAAGTACAAAGTAAATCTCACTGATCTTTTTTGTGCCAAAAATAAGAAAGTACTTAAAGACTAATGGGATATCAAAAACAGGAACATGGGTGTACACGTTTGTCAAAGTTCATCATACTATACACTTAAATCTGTGCATTTTATTATATTCAAGTTATACCTCAGAAAATAACATTATGCTAAAAAACAAAGGGACATAAGAACTTGGGGGTGCCTGGTTGGCTCAATTAGTAGAGCATGCGACTCTTGATCACAGAGTCGTGAGTTTAAGCCCCACATTGGGTGGAGAGCTAACTTAAAAAAAAAAAAAAGAAACAACTTGACAGGAGCTCCCACAGATAAAATGCGTGAGCTTCAAAAAGAATACTGACTAACCTTAGCTATGACACAATAAGTAAAATGGGGCACCTGGCTCGCTCAGTCAGTGGAGCATTCGACTCTTGATTTTGGGGTTGTAAGTTTGAGCCCCGTGTTGGGTATAGAGCTTACTTTAAAAAAATCTTAAATGGTTATATATTTTATTTTTTGAGAGAGAGAGGAAGGGTGGGGCAAAGAGAGAGGGAGACAGAGAATCCCAAGCAGGCTCCACACAGTCAGTGCAGAGCCCATCGCAGGGCTCAAACTCATGAACTGTGAGACCGTGACCTGAGCCAAAATCAAGAGTCAGATGCCCAACTGACTTAGTCACCCAGGCAGTCCAAAAATAAAATCTTCAAAAAAACACAGCAAGTAAAAATTCGTAAGTCTTAAAACAAAGAAAAGCTGTTCTTTACAGAAAAATACCAGCCGATAAATGTAGGAGGAATAACAAAATTAGAAAAATCATAAATTTGTAACCTCTGATGTAATAAAACTGATTCAGGCAAAACTGTCAATGAATGCCAAAAACCATCTGGTGAAAGACCGTTGGGGAATGGGCTAGTCACACGGTGCTATGAGACCACTTTACAGATTACTAATTGCAAAAGAAAAAAATGTACCTTTATAATCAAAAGACCTGGCAGTCTGACCATGACTGAGTGGTTAGATTTAGTATCACATATCATGTGCCTCCTGACATGACAGAATACCACGTGCGTAAACCCATAAAGCATTCTTCCCAAATACTGTTTAACCTGAAACTAATCAAGCCTCTAGAACGCATCTCCAGTTTACAGGAAATTCATAAGGGAAGTTAAATATCACCATGAAGAAACATCGAGAATACGGGACATTCCATCAAACAGGTGGCCTAGAGTTTTCAAAAGTCCCTGTCCTTTGGGGCGTGGGAATGTTGGGGGAGAAAGAAAATGTTCTAAACTGAAGAGACTAAAAGAGACCTATCCATTTGTAATATGAACCTCGACTGCGTCCTGGTTTGGGGGGGAAAAAAAAAACTAATGAAAGAAAAGACAGTCTTGGAACAGTTATGGGGGAACTGACTATGAACTGAACATTACTAGTTATGGAATCACTGTTACTGTTTTAGCTGTAGTAACAACATCCTGGAGGTCCTTATGCTCAGGAGGTAAACACTTGAAGTATTTAGGGCTGAAGTTTCAAGATGTCTGCAACTCACTGTCAAATGCTTTATTAAACTATATAGACATGGCCAAATGGTTAACAATTATTAAATCTAGGTGGGAGGTATTTAGGTGCTCACTATATTATTCTTTCAATTTTATTGTATACTTGACAGTTTTTAAAACAAGAAGTTGTGGAAAAACTTGCAAAGCACCAGTCTGGGATCATGATCAGAAATAGGACAGGGCGCCTGGGTGGCTCAGTCGGTTAAGTGGCCAGCTTCGGCTCAGGTCATGATCTCACGGTCCGTGGGTTCGAGCCCCACGCCAGGCTCTGTGCTGACAGCTCAGAGCCTGGAGCCTGTTTCAGATTCTGTGTCTCCCTCTCTCTGCCCCTCCCCTGTTCATGCTCTGTCTCTCTCTGTCTCAAAAATAAAACATTAAACAAAAATTTTTTTTAAATAAAAAATAAAAACAAAGAAATAGGAAAACAAGGGGTAACCGGGTGGCTCAGTTGCTTAACCATCCATCCGACTTCAGCTCAGGTCATGATCTCACGGTTCGCTGAGCTTGACTCCATGTCGGGCTCTGTGCTGACAGCTGGGAGCCTAGAGCCTGCTTCAGATTCTGTGCCTCCCTCTGTCTCTGCCTGAGTGCCCCCGCCCCCCCGCCACCCCCATCCCACTTGCATTCTGTCTCAAAAATGAACACTAAAAACATTTTTTTAATGGAAAAATAAGCTAGTTTTAGGGAAAAGATAATTTTTATTTTTCAATTTTTGTTTATTTTTTTTGAGTAGGCTCCATACCCAATGTGGGGTTCAAACTCACAACCCTGAGATCAAGAGTCATGTGCTCTACTGAGTCCAGGCACCCTGGTAAGTTTTATTTTTGATACACTGCACTTGGAAGTGTCTAAGGGGTCAAGTTTAGAGATTTGGGACCCTCCACATAACAAAATAAAGATTAAGTAGATGAGATTTTTTTTAAGGAAAAGCATGCATACATAGAAATGCAATGCTGTAAGAACTAAAACTTGCGAAATACTTGTAAGAAAGTTAAAAAGATCCAGTTTTTTAAAGTAGGGAAAAATCATTCAGAAGATGGAAGGAAAATCTTAAAGGCATAATATGAATAAGTCAAAGGAAGACGGGGTCAAGTACAGCTGACAGGTCAATGCTAGAGAATACAAAGAGACCAAGGCCTGGGAAAAGGCTTGGGGAAAGGCCTGTGCATTTAGTGACCACAAAAGCCATTACAGAGAGAAGCTCCCGAAAGTATGGTTACTGAAGAACAGTAGGAATGGAAATAATTATTATGAGATTAAAGGAAATGAATGGTAAGAAAAGAGAAGCAACTGGTGCTTTCATTCATTTTTAAAGTCTGGCAGGAAGAGAAGAAAAAGAATCAGATGGGCAGAAATGTCACCTGAGGGTTTTTTCAAACTAGAAGAGACCTGTGGCTGGTTTCTGAAGACCCAGAAAACAAGGCACTGATGAAAAATGAATGAGGTGATGCTTCACATGCTACTCCCACTGCAGAAACAGCCACACATTGTAGGACTTTCGCCAAATTACTCACCTGGCTCAATCTCCTGTAACCATACCTAATTTTACATTCTTACTTGGCTTACATATGGATCTTCAAGTCTCATTCTAGGCTTCTTTGTAGATAAATATTAGCTCCCATCTAAAACAATCATCAGGGGCGCCTGGGTGGTTCAGTCGGTTAAGTGTCTGACTTAGTCGGCTCAGGTCATGATCTCCCGGTTTGTAAGTTGAGCCCCATGTTGGGCTCTGCGCTGACAGCTCAGAGCCTAGAGCGTGCTTCTGATTCTGTGTCTCCCTCTCTCTGCCTCTCCCCCGCTTACATTCTGTCTCTCTCTCTCTCAAAATAAATAAATAGGGGCGCCTGGGTGGCGCAGTCGGTTAAGCGTCCGACTTCAGCCAGGTCACGATCTCGCGGTCCGTGAGTTCGAGCCCCGCCTCAGGCTCTGGGCTGATGGCTCGGAGCCTGGAGCCTGTTTCCGATTCTGTGTCTCCCTCTCTCTCTGCCCCTCCCCCGTTCATGCTCTGTCTCTCTCTGTCCCAAAAATAAATAAAAAACGTTGAAAAAAAAATTTAAAAAAAATAAAAAATAAATAAAAAAAATAAATACATAAATAAAATAAAATAAAATAAAATAATCACCAAATACATACATTGTATTTGCATTGATCGGTTATAACTAGCTAGCTAGCTACAGTGCTCGTGAAGGAATACTGTCACACTAAGAAACTGTCAAGCCCGCAAAATAAACACTGCTGACACCTACCAGCTGCTTGAATTTGTTTTGCACACATGGCCAAAATGGAGTGTCAGTAAATCTTGAAAGAGCTAGTAGGTGTGTGTTTCTCACCACATAAAAGGTAATATATCCTAGATATGGAAATCCTATTAAACATGTTTCACATGTAAAAACTAGAGTAACAACTAAAATAAAACTGCATTTACTTACAAAAGTGCTGCTCTAGCCAAATCATGTGGCATCAGTTCCTTATATCTGAGGAAAGAAAAGAAACAATTTAAACTAAAAGCCTAGAACATTAACAGTGTTTTCATTCTATTTGAAATACCTAGAGATACCATCTAATATGCTCCTGCAAATGCACTTCATGATCTAAGGCAGTCCAGCATTCCAAATGAAGCAATATTGTGACTACTATTTGTCATCCTTCGCAATCTGGCGGGCCTGAACTCCTACTGAGCTGGCTAAGAATCTAACCAAGATGTGGCCCAGTATCTTATTGTTCATCATGACATATGTTGCACGCTCTTTAAAACTAAACTCCATCTTCTCAGTTCTCTTTACTTCATTTTTCAAAATAGATTATTTTTCAACGTCCAAAGGGACCTGAGGGATGTATTAGGACTTTTTCGGAAACTTTTGGAAGTAATTTAAGATCTACGACAGAACTGGAAAGACCGAACAGACATCCTGAATACCCTTTGCCTGGCTTCCTCTAATGCTAATATCTTATCCAACCATGATGCACCAGTCGACACTAAGAAACTGGTACTGCTACAACATTCACTAAGCTGCTAACTTTATCTGGATCTCACCAGTTTTTCTACTAATGCCTGCTTCCTGTTCTGTTCTAATACCAAATCCATGTACTTAGTTGTCATGCCTTTGTTTCCTCCAATCTGTGACAGTTTCTCAGCCTTTCCTTGTCTTTGTGACCTTGATATTTGAAGACTAGGGTCATGGGTTTGGGGGAAGAATACGAGAGAAGTGAAGTGCCCTTCTCATTGCTTCATATCGGAACGTGCATGATAGCAACATGACTTATTACTAGTGAATCACTCGGTTAAAGCAGTATCTACCAGTTTTCATCACTATTTTTCCCTTTCTGTACTCAAGTTGAGTATAGAAGGGAGTCACCAGTCTGGACCTCGCTCGAAGGGAGGAGAATTCAGCTCTACTTCCTACTGGAAGGAATAACAAAGGATTTGTGGACATGTTAAAAGCACCGCAGTAATTAATAAATATTTAGGGGGAAAGAGTTGAGGCAACGCAAGTATCTCGTTTCTCAACGTTTCTCACCTACTAATTTTTTCATTCATAGATCCTCCTTGCAGCAATTATTACTGTGGTGTTCCAATGGTGATTCATTTATTTTCATCATTCCTTCTATATTTATTAGCTGAAATTCTTTGGTAAAGATGATGGGTCCCTTCTCTCTCATTTATGTATTTATTCAATTATTTATTTATTTATGTAAGATGGGACTCACATAAATATTTTTCTTTGGGTTATGATGTAATACTCTATTTTATTGGTCAAATTGTTCTAGCTTTCATCATTAGAAGTTATTTCAGATTGGTCCCTTGTCCTTTTCTTGAGTCATTTTTTTTTTTTTTTCTTAAAGCACTTCTTCACTTCCAGGCACTACAAAATGCTCCAGCCTCATCTTGTATTTTCTCTGGCTCAGCCCTGGTCATTCTTCTAGGCAGGCCTGGCTCCTTATACTGAAGAACGGTATTTAGAAACAAGCTCTGCATGCAAACTCTGTTTAAATGTCAAAAATAAATTCCCTTTAAGTCAAAGATTAGGCCATTGGATTGAATAAGTTCATTCTACAAGTTCCTGAAAATCAAAACCTAAAAATCCAAAAATGTTTTTATTTTAACTCTGAATCACAGAAGAATTATCTGTAGTTTTCCAAATCTTTCAGAGGTAAAATGAGTTCCCTCAAATTTAGAACAGAATAATCTGGGGAAACATTGTGTGTCAATTTTAAAATGTCCAAACACTAAATTACCATTTTACAATGTTAACGCTCACATTCCTACACCCTTCTCTACAAGGATGATTAGCAGATTCCCAAATCCCACTGCTGGCATCCATTCCTACGAGTGCTTCCCAAATGCCCTCCCCTTTTAAGAACCTTGTCTTCCAAATAGCACTCAAGTTAAAAGCAAAGTTTCCTCAAATTGAACAGAAGAAGATCTTTTTCCACCTAGAAAATCATCTATTACATATAGAAGACCTATTTGTCACCTCAGTCATAACATCAATCTCATGACTTGATTATTTGTCTTCTTTATAAATTCTTCTCGCTATATTGTCACTTTTGTTCTTCACATAAATATTACCTTGAAATTTTTTCCTTCTTTTCTATCAACTTTAATTTCTTATGTTATTCCAAGTTTATCTCTTCTCTGTACCACTAAGTTGCCCACGTACTTTGTCATCTCAGTCAGTTAAGATCCTGAATTAAACTAAAACACAACCACAAACAACAAAAGGAACCCCATACCAATGTGCTGAATATCTCAAATCAAACTTTGGGCAAATACTAATTACCAAAGAGTTTAAATAACGTAAGTAAATGATATAGCTGAACGTGTTCAAATTTCTTAATAACTAGTAAAACAGCTGGAAATAAATACCTACATAGTATATAAGCAACCCTTACAAAAAAAAAGAATTGTCTTCCTAGCCTAGAACTTTCTGCTCTTGACAGAACTTTCTTTTTCTACCCTGCTCTGCGAAGTACGAGGCTCTCCTGTCCTCAATTTCCTGCTGCTACAGCTTGAGATTCTTACTTTTACTGCTCTTGTCAGTAGAGGAAAAGATTATAGAGAAAAATGGCTTTACGATGCTGAGACAACAGGGTGAGTGAAGAATCTTCACCACCACTCACTTACAGCATTAATTCTGTAAGAAAATACTCTCTAGGTTCTAAACCGTATGTTTAAAAAAGAACGTTTACTGTTTGTGTATGTACACACACACACAAAGGTATGCATCTTTGACAAACACACTGCTCTGCACCTTGCTCTTTACACTTAACACATCCTCAGAAACTTTCTATATTAGTATATATTGATAGGCCTCACTCCTCTTAGCAGATGCCCAACATTCCCCAGTGCAGTAAGTTAGTGACTGCTTGTTCAAAATATGAGTATCAAAACAACCTAAACAAAACAGAACTAGTATTTCACTTAGTTTGAACCTAGTTACCAAAGCCCATTATCAGCTTTTGGACAGACTAGGCCCCACTTGGGGATACAAAGCAGCAGACAAGTCTAAGGAGAAGAGCAGTTTGGTTCCGGGAGATTTCTGTGCTCATCTAGGATCATTCTGGTTCTATTTACTTGGGGTTGTGCTATGCTGGGATTTCGACCAGCCTGTCAACTGCAATTCTGATCAGGAAGCTAAAGCAATGAATTAAAGGCCCTTCTGAATACTCACTGGCCCACAGCCTCAGTATTCAAACTTCTGAACAAGGACAGAAACAAGGTACTTATCTCCAGACAAGGAAAGCATACCTCTGCTGGAACCAAGGCATCTGGATCCACACTAGGTTTTCAAAATTGGCCTGGTTCAATCTAAAACTATACTAGGCTTGTTCATGAGAAAGGATGAAAAACAAATTTTGCCATTTTATTTTACCACTGGCCTGACTTATTCTGTATTAATTTCATAAAGAATGCTATGCGTACATTAACCCACTAGCGACAGTATTACCGACTGGGTTACATGTGCAAAGACCACTTCCGAAAGTGTCTTAAAAGAAGAAATAAATAAAGTTACGTGTTAATTAACCGGATTTTAGTAATCATTTCACAACGTATACACGTATGAAATCATCACATTGTATACCATAAAAAATCATGTCGTACAACCTAAATATATACAATTTTTATTTGCCAGTGATACCCTGAATAAAGCTGGAAAAGAAAAAAGAAAACAAGGAAGAGAACACAATCATTTAATACTTACGAAGTGCCCGACTGCAAAAATGGAATGCGAACACCCTCCACCACCACAATATTCCTTATATTGGGTTTGGCTAAGGTTTTCTTCGACTTGGTCTGGGCAGCTTTAAGGTAAAGTTCAAAGAACTATTAATTCAAATATATGAAGTCAGATGACTTTTCACATTTTCAAAAACAGACATTCTAAGAATTACAACATTCAATGCCAAGCTGCATTTGCCACTTACCAAACCAGTTCAATTAAAAATTTTTAAAAAAGGCTAAGAAACTGACTAGCATTTACAAGTTTCCAAACAGTATTTAAGGTAAATACAGAGATTATACCTAATAATGGTATATTCATTAATGAGAGTATTCATGCCATTAACAAAATTGTTTCTTTTTATCAAGTGTTTCACAATCACATCGAGAGCAGCCAATGTGTCACAGGTCTTCCCTTAATATTAGAAGTCCCGGGGTGCCTGGATGGCTTAGTCCTGCAACTGAGAGCATGCAACTCTTGATATCAGGGTTGTTAAGTTTGAGCCCCACATTGGGTATAGAGATTACTTTAAAACATAAAAAATCTCAAAAAAAAAAAAAAAGGAGTCTCAATAAACGGTATCTACTCTTCACATAGCTTAGTATTCTTGTTTTTTATGTAGAAATAAAAGCCATTTGGTTGGTGATTATCACCATTCTGCAAAAACCTAGAATGCCTCCTGATTCTGTTTGACTCAATTTATATAGTTACTTTCCGACATCAAAAGAGCAACGTTCGTGCCAGTATAGGACTGGCACAAAAATAGACTCAGATCCCATGGAACACAACAGAGAGCCCAGAAATAAACCCATGCTTATATGGTCAATTAATCTATGACAATGGAGGCAAGAATATACAATGGGGAAAAGACAGTTTCTTCAACAAATGGTGTTGGGAAAATCAAACAGCGACATGCAAAAAATTGAAACTGGACTTTTTCTTACACCACACACAAAAATAAACTTTGATGAGTTAAAGACCTAAATGTGAGACCCAAAACCATGAAGTTCCTAGAAGAGAGCACAAGAAGTAATTTCTTTGATATCAGCTGTAGCGGTACGTTTCTAGATATGTCTCCTGAGGCAAGGGAAACAAAAGCAAAAATAAACTATTGGGACTACATCAAAATCGAAAGTTTTTACACAGTAAAGGAAAACATCAACGAAACAAGGCAACTTACTGAATGGAAGAAGATATTTGCAAATGATATATCCGGTAAGAGGTTAATATCCAAAATATATAAAGAATTTATACAACTCAACACCAAAAAAAACCAAATAATCTGATTAAAAATGATAGAGGGTCTGAACATTTTTCCAAAGAAGACATACAAATGGCCAACGGACACATGAAAAGATGCTCAACACCACTAATCATCAGGCAAATGCAAATCAAAACTACAATGAGATCACCTTACACCTGTCAGAATGGCTAAAATCAAAAAGACAAGAAATAACAAGTGTTAATGAGGATGTGGAGAAAAAGGAACCCTTGTGCACTACTGGGAAAAAACGCAAATTGGTGCAGCCACTGTGGAAAACATTATGGAGGTTCTTCAAAAAATTAAAAACAGAAATACCGTATGATCTAGGGTCACCTGGGTGGCTCAGTCAGTTATGTGCCCAACTTCGGCTCAGGTCATGATCTCACGATTCGTGAGTCTGAACCCTGCATCGGACTCTGTGCTGACAGCTTGGAGCCTAGAGCCTGCTTTGGATTCTGTATCTCCCTCTCTCTCTGCCCCTCCCCACTCACACTCTGTCTCTCTCTCAAAAATAAAAAAGCAATGAAGAAAAGAAGACAGAAAAAAGAAAAAAGACAAGACATACCATATGACCTAGGAATTCCACTTCTGGGTACGTACCCAAAGAATACAAAAACACTAATTCAAAAAGATATACACACCCCTGTGTATACTGCAGCATTACTGAGAACAGCCAAAATACGGAAGCAACCCAAGCGCCCACCCATAGATGAATGAATAAAGATGTGATGTGTACACACACATACACGCACTCAATCAAATATTACTCAGCCATAAAAAAAGAATATCTTGGCATCTGCGACATGGATGAACCTAGAGGGTATAATGCCAAGTGAAGTCAGAGAAAGACAAATACCATATTATTTCACTCATATGTGGAATTTAAGAAACAAAACGAATGAGCAAAGACAAGAAGAGACAAACAAAAAACCAGACTCTTAAATACAGAGAACTGGTGGGTTGCCAGAGGGGAGGTAGGTGGGGGAAATGGGTAAAGTAGATGAAAGGGATTAAGCATACACTTATCTTTTTTTTTTTAATGTTTATTTATTTTTGAGACAGAGAGAGACAGAGCATGAATGCGGGAGGGGCAGAGAGAGAGGGAGACACAGAATTGGAAGCAGGCTCCAGGCTCTGAGCCATCAGCCCAGAGCCCGACGCGGGGCTCGAACTCATGGACCGCGAGATCGTGACCTGAGCTGAAGTCGGACGCTTAACCGACTGAGCCACCCAGGCGCCCCAAGCATACGCTTATTTTGATGAGCACTAAGTACAGAACTGCTGAATCATCACCTTGCACACCTGACCCTAATATAACAGAGTTAATTATACTTCAATAAAAAAAGAGCAACCTTTCTCTAATTTTTTAATTAAAAAAAAAAAAAGAATACATGCTTGTGGCAAAGACACAAAAACAAAAACACACAACTCTAAAAGATGGAAAGTAAAACTAAAGTTCCCTCTTGATGCCCTCCCCTGTCCTATCATTTCCTTTGAAGGAGATACTGCTAATTTGGTGTATAACTTTCAAACTTTTTTCTCTTTGAAGTTACATACATGCATACACTTATGTGTTATGTACAGTCTTCTGACCTGATCACACCTACTGACATCATAGAGAACTATTTATGATAAATATCCACAAACAACTTGAAAGAAACAGTGGTCAGAGCTAAGAACCATGATAAAATGGGGTACAGATTCCCCTGTCAGCTCTAACAGAGGTGTGCTGGTGCAGGACACAAAGGCACAGGGAGATCAGCAAGGAGACTCTGGCAGACTCAAGCATGTGGTGCTAAAAGCCAGGATACAGGCAGTATCAGTGTATGAATGGAAGGAAGGGACCTAGACAAGAGATTTTATCAAGGAAGACGAGGCATCCTGGTGACCAATCAGATATGGAAAGAAAGGACAACAGGATTATAAAGGAAGCTTAGAGACTAAGAAAACCTAACTATTCTACACAGAGTAACAACTGGTTTGGGAAGAAAAATGACTTCACTCCTAAATATGCTGACTTCGAAGTGACAGAGAGACACCCAGGTGGGTATGTCCGCTTGACGAGGTAAAGCTCTGAAGACAAATGGGGTGTAGATGGGAGACCCATGAAGTACTTGCGGTTCGGAACACGGAAGAACAAGAGGCAGGCTTGACGGCAGCAGCTCACCCATCCCCCCTCTAAAGGGAGCTGGGCAGCCACAGACACCTCATCCCTGAGCCCACGGCCAAAGCTGATTAGATTCCAGGTGGGTCCTGGACCACCAAAGGACAATCCAGAGAGTGGCCAGCCAGTAACCCATGTCACCTGCCTGTAAGTGATAAGCTGTGCCAGTCAGATTCTCTCTCTTAGGAATCTATGCAAAGAAGCATGAAGACAAATACTAATTAGTGGAAGCTGAAAGGATGCTGAGGGAAAACCAGGGCACTGATAAACTGAAGTCACTTGTAAGCCAGTTATGGGGAAGCAAAAACCTTGAGTGAGCAAAGAAGCCAGCAGGCAGAGTGAAGAAGGATGTAAAGAAAGAAGAGAAAAGCCAGGAAAGAACACACCACATGTCCAGGAGAAGACAGCGTAGCTGGCCCCTAGGGCTTCCTGGTTCCTACCGCCTTCCCAGCTGCAGCACACTCAAGCCCTCTTATCCTTCACTTGAGCAGGTCCATTACTCACAATTAAGGACTTGGATCTGTTGACCTCCCTACATTCAGAGGACAGGGGGAAGGTGTGGGACAGAAGGTGAACTTGAGAGACAGCAGGAGAGTCAGTAGAGATCAATGCCTGACAGCAAAAGCAGGAGAGAATCAAGGAGCACAAGATGGTCAAATGATTCAATACTCAAGGAGAATGAGGACTGGAAAGAGGCCATGAAATTGGAAGATGTGCAGATTACTCGTGACTGACCTTGGAGACAATAAAGAAATAAGGAGAAGTCAGATGACATGCCATCGTGTCCTTCCACTGACCACATGTCCCTTTTATACACTTACAGATACAATTCAAATTCCTAACTCTTCTAATGAATTCCCGGCTTCACTAGGTTCCACCTCAACTCTCCCAAAGCATTTTCCCCTATTCAACACGTAACAAGAAGAGTGAGCCCCAGTCCCTCACACTGCTCGTGGGTTCATTTCAACCTCCCTGCCTTCATTCATGTACCCTCCTATCCGAGTGGCCTCTGCTAATTCTTACTTATCCCTCAAGGCTGGTTCACATTCCACCTCCTAGGAAACCTGTCGCTGATAACTAAGGTTACCTATGGTTCTTGCCTCTGAACTTCTGGCAACCTCTGGGGAAAAAATTGGCTATTCAAAACAATTTGGCATATTATAAAGCAATTAAACTAATGTTATAAGCCACATTTAAAAATAATATTTGCTACTCATTATGTACTGAAGTCACCCAACGGTCTCTCATTCTGTTTCTTGTGCACACTGGCTCCCAACCACATCAGAATTTTCTCAAAGGCTCCTTTTTATGTATTCCACAATGTATTCTAAGAAACTGAGTTGGGGATTAAAATATCTGGGTTCAAGTCCCTGCCCTGCCAAAACTTTACTATTTGCTGAACTAGATGGCCTCAAAAGGCTCCTCCCAACTCCAAAACCTAGGATTTTATGGCTGATACACATTCTATATTTTACATATATAATTAAAGTCAAAGCAGATATGTGTTACATATTATCCCAGTGGTATACACACGTGTGTATATAGACACATAACATATATAGATATAAACACTGAACCAGCCCATAATCTCCAGTCTGTCTAATGACTGAAAACACCAACAAATTCTGTATCCCTCTATTCTAAATCCTTCATCCTAAGAGTTCTGTCAAGCAAGGACATTCACGTGAGCTTCAAGAGGAGTAAGTTATAAAATTACTGCAACCTAAAACCTGTTCAGCATATGCCTCCCACCCCCACCCCACCCCCACCAGCTGGTCACATTCCTTTGTCTTATCATGTGCCTTCCTGCACACGATCATCATCAACAGAAATCACTGTTATGGCACAAAAACAGACACTCAGATCAATGGAACAGAATAGAGAACCCAGAAATGGACCCACAAACGTATGGCCAACTAACCTTTGACAAAGCAGGAAAGAAGGGCCAATGGAAAAAAGACAGTCTGTCTCTTCAGCAAATGGTGCTGGGAAAACCAGACAGCGACATGCAGAAAAATGAACCTGGATCACTTTCTTACACCAT